GGCTGTTCAGGTCTCTGATTATCTGATAAAAAGGTACTTTCCCATTCTTCAACGTTGTTTTAGGAGACAAGATGACCAAAGTATTCTGCTTTTATGCCTGATGTCAGAATGCACTTCCTAGACTTTTTCGGAATGGATTAATGGGATAAGTACTGGACACACAACCTGGTTTTCATTTTCAAAGATTTCCAGCTTCTGATTCCAATCACTTGGAATTGTTAAGATGCGAGGTAACGGCCTCAGGTTGCACCAGAGGAGGTTCAGATTAGATAAAAGGAAAAATTTACTCTCTGAAAGAGTGATAATGCACTGACACAGGCTGCCTAGAGAGGTGAAGAAGACACAGTCCCTGGAGGTGTTCAAGAACTGTGGAGATGTGGCACTGAGGGACATGGTCAGTGGGCATGGTGGGGTTGGTACAGGTCGGACTTGGGGATTTTGGATGTCTTTTCCAACCTTAATGATGCTATGATTCTATGATTCTGTGAATTATGGGAACTACGGGTGTAGAAACCTTTGAGGAGCTGAGAACACAAAGGCCTGAAACAGAATGAGAACACTTGCATGGCATCAGAAAGATGCCAACACCCCTTCAGTGTACATACTGATCTGCTGAAGCCAACGCAAAGCTGCTCGAAAATAAATGGAGCAAAAGGAAAGAATCCCTATGCTTTACTTTCTTTGCTGTGTGATCCTATGGACCATGATGACTCCAGGTAGCATTCAACCAAACAAAGAAGAGGGTGGAGCTTTCATGAAGAGAATTAACTTAGTCAAGAAATCAGTCAACAAACAGCCTTGAAGAAACAGGTCTTGAAAACATGACAGGGGCTGCTCATTGCCCCAAGGCCTAACCATGACTGATGGCAGAAAGATCTTAGGATGCATTGATTTCATACCAGTAAATCTTAGTATTTATTAACTCAAGAGCTAAATATTGACTTATGTCAAAGGGAAGCCAATATCTGCAATGAGAGATGGAAAACATATAGAAAGGAGGTGAACAGTCCAGTGAGCAGCTTGCTGGGAAACAACCACGTGTTTCTCAGGAGCAGCTAATACATCCAGATAAAAAACTCTACAGTTCCACTGAGCAAGCAATCTGGGCTCCAACACATCTGAAAAGTGAGTGTGCGGAGTTGAGGAGATGCAGTTTTGATTTCCTACAGGACTCTCATAAGGATGGGAAACATTCCTACAGCTGCTGCATGTTGCCAGTGGGAACTGTTGATCGTTGTTTGGTTCTATTGCAGGCAACGTTTTTGCTAATCTTTTGCAAGAACTAAACTCATCCACAAGTAATCATGCTGGCTGCTGCTGTGGGTGCTTCCTGTTGAGAAATAACATCAAGCACATCCAAGTTTGGATAGCTTCCCAAATGATCTGCTCTATGTATCTAACTACTGAGGCCATGAGGATGCTTGGAAGCTGGAACACCTCTGCTAAGGAGTTGGGCTGGGAGCTGGGGGTATTCAGCCTGGAGAAGGGAAAGCTCTGGAGAGACCTTACAATGGTCTTCTGGTGCTTCAAGGAGCTACAGGAGAGCTGTGGAGGGACTATTTGTAGGGGTGTAGGGGTAGGACAAGGGAGAACTGCTTAAAATTAAAAGAGGGTAGGTTTAAATTAGTCATTAGAAATAAATTTTTTACCATGAGGTGGTGAGGCCCTGGCACAGGTCACCCAGAGAAGGTGTGGGTGCCCCATCCCTGTCAGTGCACAAGATCAGGTTGGATGGGGCCTTGGGCATCTGGTCTACATGAGGTGTCCCTGGACATAGCAGGGTTGGGACTGAGTGGGCTTTGAGGTTCCTTCCTACCCAAACCAGTCTGTGATTCTACAATTCTACTATTCTATGATTCTATGATCTACCTCAGCCACAAAGGAGAAGGTACATGAGCAGTCCCTCTCATAGCAAAAAGATCAGAGCTAGGAATTGCAGGGCACTCTTGCTTTCTCCAAGTTTGGTGCATGAGAAAACCTCTTTTCTGAGATTGCATAAGAGAAAGGGAAATGAGATTTCAGAGGGGGGTTCAAATATCATGGGGCAAAACTCCAACATTAGCTCTTCTTACTAATCCATCTTACGTCATCTTCATTCACTCTTTAACTCCTTTCCTGGCATGTATCTACTGGAATTTATTCAGGAGAGAGTCAGAATTACTCAGATATCTCTCCTTTGGATTAAGATTTTCCTGGATTTTATCACGTCTAATGAGGAATGATTTCATCAAACAGTGAGAAACAAGAAATCGAGCTGGTGTCTTCTGGAAACACGTGGTCAGAGTTAAACTCAGCATGGCCCTGGTTGAAACTGATTTAGGAATGATGCCTTATGATATCCAGACCTGAATCATAGAATGGAAGGGACCTTGAAGACCATCCAGTTCCAACCCCACTACCGTGAGCTGGTTGCCACCCACCAGATCAGGCTGCACAGAACCCCATCCAACCTGGCCTTGAATCAGGATGAACTGAAAGCATTTTGGTGGAACTGCCCTCATCTGCTTTCCCAAAGCAAAGAAAGGGGTGGGTAGTGCATGGTCAGTGCCTAAGACACCAGGTGAGGTCTTACCACCATCTGATGCTGCATGACCTCAGGTAAATCCAGTTCTTCTTTCATCCCACCCTAGTGTATTTAGGCCATCATCTTTCTGAGACAGCTAGGGAAATTTGTCCCAGCACAGCATGATGGGCTTTGCTTGGGAAGGATCAGCTCTGGCACAACTGGGAAACTGGGGAAAAAAAAATTATTTTCTCTCAAGAAAATATGGCAAATAGGAATAGTAATGGGAAATGCTACCTTGAGCTTAAATGCCCTGTAAAAATGAACTTGGTATTATCATGCTAATGAACTGGGTTTGATCTGCTGTAGGGAGCATCCCTTTATGGACTGTCTGAGGCACTTTGCAATGGAGCATTTCTTGGTACTGCAATGGACCACACCAGCACCAAGCATCACTTTGCCATCCATCTCTGCTAAGTCCTACCCCCAGTTCACCCACACTGCCCATTTCCAGCCCTTTGAGTTTATTGAAATCTCTTAACATTCAAAGTTCAAGACAGAACACCACTCAGTTCATTATTATTTCATCTGAGCAACGGACTTTCTGAGGCACTTGATCTTCCCATGTCCAGCAGCTACAGCAAAGCAATAGGCTTCAAATAAGAAAAACAACAACTGAAGTTCTTTCTTGAGCAAAATCCTGAGGTTTGAAGCCAGGTTTCATGTTTCTCATTTCTTCATTTCAAATCAGCAGACCTGGCAGTGCTGGAGTTTGTCCCAGATGTAGGATTTAATTCCCAGTTCCCCCAGCCTCAAACTGGCATTTTCCTTTACTGAGGCTAACACTGAGATGGCAAAGGCCCACAGAGAGGAATGGAAAAATGAACGAAATGGAAAATTAAACAAAAGCTTTCAGCTGAGCAACTTCCCCTACCCAGAGCTATAAAAATGAATGGTGCAGAGACCTTGGGGAATGGATCCTGCCAGCAGAATGCACATGGCTGAAACACCGCTGCCAGCTTCAGGGAGAAAATCATAACCCAGATGAAGGGGTTTTCCCAAGGTTTTCCCACAGAGTGTTTGGTACAGCTGAGTCCTGAGCACTGATTTCCTCTGTCCTCCCCTTGGCAGAGTGGTCACAGCCTGATGGAATTCCAAACTCCCAATCTCCCAATCTCATCAACACACTGGTGTCAATGGATGGGGCTGAGCAATCTTTTGTTATTGGTGTGGGCCATGTGATGCATTTCAAAGCCCCAGCATTACTCAAAGCAAACGCAGGAGCCTGATGGTGCCTTTTCATCCCAAACTTGTTAGGAAACACAGCTTGGGACCTGCCACAGGTCACACCTAGGGAGAGGTTTGTGTTGCAGCCAGCCACAACATGAGTCCTCTGTGACTCATGAACTCAAGGTCCCCTTCCCTTTGTCCAAACATTGCTACAGAACCACAACAAGAAGCACTCTCCCATTCCTATCTCCAGTATCACACCTCTGGGTCATTAAACCCAACTACCAAGAAACTCTGCTCACCCTACAACAAACAAATCCAACCTCTCTGCTCCCCAGTCTGTGGGATTCTGCCTTCTTTGTTCTGCTTTATCACATCTCAAGAGTTTGTTAGCTCCAGTCTCCTGCAGCAGCTGCTGCTGAGCCAGGAGCACTGCACCTCAAACCAACACCCACAGTCTCCCAAACTGGGACCTGAGTTTACAGCATGGGGCTGGTGAGCCCTTGGTGCTGTCTTGTCCTGCTCATAGAATCATAGAATCATTAAGGTTGGAAAAGAACTCCAAGATCATCCTGTCCAACTGTCAACATAACACCACCGTGCCTACTCATAGAATCATTAAGGTAGGAAAAGATCTCTAAGATCATCTCATCCTACTGTCAACCCAACATGACCGTGCCCACTAACCATGTCTCAGTACCTTGGAGTGCTGGATGTGTGTCCTACACATCTAAAATGTGGATGTGGGAGGTGTTTGGGTATAGGACCCACTCCTGTGAATGAATGTGTGCTTAGCGACGTGGTTTAGAAAGCATGGATGACAGGCAAATGGATGGACTGGGTGATCTTAGAGGTCTTTTCCAACTCTAATGATTCTATGATTCTGTCAATACAGGTCAGGAAAAAGAGCTGAGGGGAATTCTGAAGTCAGCCCACCAAAGCAATGGGGCTATAAGGGGTGGTCCTATGTGGAGCCATGTGTCAGACTTGACGATCCTTGTGAGTTCCTTCCAATTTTGGATATTCTGATTCCACAATAAGAGATTTTACCCAGGGGATGCAACGCCAGCTTCAAACACACACACACTCCCTTTTTCTCCAAAAAGGGTGAAAAAAAGCCATATTTCTTTAGTGGGGTCAGGCAAAAAACCCCATTCCTTTTGAGGGGTCACTCCAACATTAAGTTCACAAAGGAATAAAGGCAAGGGGGGGGTCTATCAACTCAGGAGTCGCCCAGCGGAGCGCAAGTCCTGCCTCCTTCTTCCTCCTCCTCCTCCTCCTCCTCCCAGATGTTCCCTTGTGTGCAGCCATCTGTTGAGCTCCCTCCTCCCTCCTCCTGCGGGGAAGGGGGCAGCCCGCCTGCCCGGCCAGCTGCACGCCTCGGCGGAGGAGGAGGAGGAGGAGGAGGAGGAGGAGGAGGGAGGAAGGAGCCTCCCGGCCCCCAGGCTGTGCTGCTGCCGGCTCCCCGCCGTGGGAACCGGCGCTGCGAGCCCGTAGGAGTGAGAACCGACCCCGGTCCCGGTGAGTGCCTTCCCCCATCCTCTTCTCACGCAGAGCTGCCGGGTTTTGGGGAGGATCACCCATCCCAAATTCTCTTTTTTTTTTTTTTTTTTTTTTTGAGGAGGGCGGGAGGGCTGAGCCGCCCCGGGGAGGTGGGGATGCGAGGGGGTGATCGATGGGGGTTCTCCCCTCCCCCACCCGCAGTGTCTCCGAGTGGGGAAACTTTTGCGGTGCGTTGAGTTTTTTGTTTGTTTGTTGGTGTTGGGT